ATTTATTGATAAATTTACAACAAAATAATATACAATCTTGAAGGATGTACATGGAATATACTTATAAACAAAATCATTACATCAACACACTATAAATAACATTACTATTACGAGAGCTACTGATTTTTTTTTTTTCCTATTAAATTTAGATTGTTCTTCTAATTATTATTGTCATATATATTAGACAATACAAACAAACAACATAACAGACACTACGAAGGCGATTAAAAAATCACAACCACCTTGGTCTACTGGGAAGAGTAGTAACATGAAAGTACAAGACAAAATCAGAGTTTTTTTAAATGGAATTTTTGACATTTCTTGTAGGATATCGAGGAAGTCAAAAGGAAGGCTATGGCTGTGGAAGAGGAAAACAAGATGTTAAAGGCAAAGATCAAGGAGTGGAAAGAAAGATGGAAAGAAAGGGAAAAGGATGAAAAAAGAGTTTTACAAGGACAGAGATGCTTGAGACAAGAACTAAGTGCCTTACAATACAGATTAGGTCTTCGATTCTTTGCTGATGATGTGAAGGTAATACCTTAATATAAAATACAATTTCATTTTAGGCTGTCTTAGTATTTATCTTATCGTATAGACTTCTTTCAAGAAAATGTGTTTCAACATGTAAAACAAAACTTCTGCTTATACATGTAAGCAGAAGAAAGGTTTCTTGTATTATTCAAATTCCAGTATTTGGAAAGGATATTTGTCATCCCTTTCATGTACTATTCAAAATGATCATTGAATACACGGCTAACATGAAAATACAAGCCAAAATCAGAGTTTTTTAAATGGAATTTTTGACATTTCTTGTAGGATATCGAGAAAGTCAAAAGGAAGGTTATGGCTGAGAAAGAGGAACAAGGACGGAGAAGCTTGAGACAAGAACTAAGTGCCTTACAATACAGATTACGCCTTCGATTCCTTACTGATGATGTGGAGGTAGTGCATATATAATATAAGATACAATTATATTTTAGGATGTCTTAGTATCCAATTTATTTATTCATTCATTCATTCATTCATTCATTTATTTATTTATTTATTTATTTATTATTTCTATTCAAATTTTTAAAACTATTGGTTGTTCCCTTTTATTTTTACAGGAAAACAACTTCAATCGTCAGCAGGATGATGATGTCGTTGATTGACAGCATACAGCAGAAGGGAAACCAGGAATTGGTTACACAGGTATCCCTAATGAAGGAATACATGTATGAGGCCTAGCTTCAAAAAACGTTAGAGTAATTACAGCATTAGAGCCCGGGTGTCTGGTGCACCGCACAGCACCCCCTGGATCCACCCTGTACACTGAAGTAGTTATCTAGGTCTGCTCAAATAGGACAATGTCCTATGGGTGTAATGTGTAATGGTGCATGCTCCATCAACGCACTGCATATTATGCCATGAAGTGGCTATATATTCTTCTGATAAGAAAAAGAATGTAGCCAGTCACATGAATACAGGAGTGAGCCTTTCTTCAATATCTGATCACCAATATTAAGAATTGAGTTGGCTAATCAGTCCTTTTCACTAAAAAATGGCAACATGGCATGCAGTAAATACAAAAAACACAAACGAAGTGTGAAGAAAAACATGAGGCTTGTGCATGCTGTTAACATTTGGTTACGACATGACAAAAGCTAATAACCATGACTGACTGTGAGGTTGATTCAGTCAGTGGTTTGAGAGGTGTCAGTAGTTGTCAGTAGGTGTTGAGTTAGATGTCAGTAGGTGTAATAAAGAAAAATAAGCTAAAACATTTTCTAGTCAGTTCGCTACTGACCAAGGTTACACTCGAATTGAATACACAGTACTATATCTACTGATCCTTTTTAAGGTTTAATGTAATTTTGAACATTTTATTCCAGAGAGTCTGAATATTGTTCTATAATATTAATATCTCAACATTAATATGGCCTATTGTATAACATCTAAGGAGTTGAAATGAAGAATTTATAGATAGAAAAATTACGTGTGTCAGAGCCACATGGATTTTATGATTTTTAAGATAAGATTTTTGATTCAACGTAATTGAACATTCTCGCTAGCCGATCAAGCCAATGCATGCCTAAGTACAAGCACAATCCAACAAAAACTTGTGTTCTCTTATGCTTGCATCACTTCTTTTTATGGTGCGAAGATGCACTAGCTTGGAGGTTACATCTGCTTGTGTCGCTAGTAAGAGGTTTGTATCAAACCATTATTTTAGAAAATATTTAATTATAGATCGTAACGCTTAAAAGAATTAATTTGCTTTCTTGTTGCACTGCAGTTTAATCTTAAGTTTATGTTTATTGTTAAATTAGAGTAAAGCTACAAAATCATTAAAATTGTGAAGTTCATAAAATTTATTTTGTATTTGAAGTTGTCTAAAACTCATTTGCATATTGTATTTAGAACTGATTTGCGTATCTGATTTAAAAGTCATTTGCATAATGGTTCTAAATACAATATGCAAATGAGTTCTAAATACAATATGCAAATGAGTTCTAAATACGATATGCAAATGAGTTCTAAATACGACATTCAATTGAGTTTTAAGTTCCTATCTTGCCTTCACATACCCGAACGATTTAGATATTTAAAAAGGGCCAGCAATCCCCGTACGGGGCTCTCCCGTGAAGTTCACTCGCTCAACACTCAATCCCACTACATTCTTTATTCTGTGATGTCATAACTTCTAAGCTATTAAATGCACCGGAAATATTTTTTTAAATATTTTTTTAATCTTCCTAAAAGAAAGATTTCAAAATTCGATCTACTTTCACTTTAGCTTTCACTTTAGCTTTCACCTTGACCTCACTACAGCTTACGATTCGGTAATCAACTAGCAGCAAGGGTTTACGAAAGGTAAGGAATGTCCAAGCTATTAAATGCACCGGAAATATTTTTTTAAATATTTTTTTTATTTGAAAATTCAGACTTCTTTCGCCCTGTGTGGAAAGATTTTGGATTTAGTCAGTTTTAATTTTTTTCCCCCTCCACCGTTAAAAAAGAGGAACGGGGGAGGGAAAAAAGATTTAAGAAAAATAGGTTAAAACTGGCTTATCCTAAAAAAAATTAGAACTCTAACACGATTTCCAAAATATATGGGGCAAGCAGCCAAACACAGGGGCCACCATAAAACTCGCGCTTTGATTGGTCCACTCTAATTGCCGCATCTGGCGCGTCGCGCGAAAGGTTTGTAGTATTTCTTGGAAATCGATTGTGGTTCCGGTAATTATTGTTTGAAGTGACCAATGGAGCGAGTGTGATTAATTTCTTGGAAATCGATGTTCATCGCGGGAGTTCATTTGTTATTGGAAAAATTTGAGCAAGTTCTTGGAATTCACTGAAAGCAGCGCTTATTAAAAATGCTCGTGCATTTTTTGCCGGGAAATTTACTGTTCTACCATATTCATCTCTTTACCTGATCCAATATGTGAGCTAAAGTGAGTATCATGATAATCATACAATAGACGACTTGCACTAAGAGGTCACGTGATCAATCCGCCATTGTGGCTGGCATTTTACAGGATTTTAGCTATGCGAGAATGTAAAAAAAGATGGCGGATTCTGGTTGTTTTTTGGTGACAAAAGGTAAGTTAGCGCACTAAATAACTATAAAAATCCCCTTTTCTTGCAAGAAATATATCCTTAGTAGATATCTAAAGTAGA